ATACACATACACATACACACACGCATGTACCATGAAGAATCTTGTCGTAACACACTGTTGACTCAAAATGAGAAAAAAGGAAGACATAAATGCAGTGATACAGTATTAGTGTCACAGTTTTAATAATCACAGCAAAAGCACACTAAAAGCATTTAGAAAGGTAGTAACAAGTCGCACAAATATACATGTAAATCTAAAATACAGAGTAAAAGTATAAAAATAAAGCAAATGTGTACAGTGCATCGTTTTCCTAGCTCAAGTCCTCAAAATAACTCAAACATTTTGCTAAAATACTTTTTTTTTTCAACTCAAAAAACATATTTTTTAAAATCTTCCTGGAAGTGAAAGTTGTTCATTATGAAATGATGCTATCAATATCATCATACTGTGAAAAAGAGGTCAAACTCTAATCAAATCACTTGACACTGGTGCTGAAAAGGAGGGAGGCATATAAAAACCAATGAATAAATGAATAACATCCTAAGCAGCATTTCAGGGTATAATCATAAACTAAATTCATAATTTCATAAGTGTAGCACCATCTAATAAATAAATTATACATCAGGCCCTACCAGAGGAGAATTGATCACACTCTATGCTTTCATTAAAGTTATAAAAAAAGTTTCTTAAAAATGTTTGTTGTAGATGTTTTGCCCTCCCATTGACACAAATAAGAACATTCAAGATACATGTGTACACCATGTCTCAGGAGAAAGACCAAGACACTCAATAAAAATTCTCTCCACTTGGGAATAAAACTCAGGTCTTTAGCGAGAGACAGTTGAGTGACTTACCGCCACACAACAGACACTGTGCCAAGTTTCAAATAGTTCTGAAAGAAATAGAGGCATTTTCCACTACGCATTTCTGAGTGCCTGAGTGTGACTGCAATCATAAACAAACAGAATTTGACTGCAATCACAAACAAACAGAATTTCTAATTCCAGAGAAGCACCATATCCTTGAGTTGACCAGTCTTACTACAGGAACTGTGTAGTGGCATCTTTTACAAGGCCGTTGATCACCTAAGGCCACACAGGCACACAAGAAGTTCTTGAGCATTTGAAGGTTATAAGAAGCAGCCTGGTGCCTCGGCTTTTGCTTCAAGGATTATAGACATTTTTGGTTTTATTTTGATGTAAGTGTTTTTACACCCCCATTGACATTTAGATCTGATAGATGGTTTTCATTACCGCCCATTTTAAGTTAATTAAAAATAAGAGGCAGGACCTTTGAAGTTAGCATCCATCTCTGACAAAACCGAGTCAAGAATCTGTAGAGATATAATGATGAAAACTAGTTTAAAAGACCACACTTTGGGGACTCGAGCCAAGATAATCTACCGAACAATCTAGCATTATACAATCTGAGCTAATGATGATGCAACTGCTTGATGGTTTTAGTTTGGAAAACATTACTGATGGTCCATCAAATTATTGTCAGGCAATTCTAACCCTTTTGATGACTTTGTTCAAAGCTGAGGCCTCAGTGCTGCTGTAAAATTGGAACGAGGTAAGGCAGAAAAACACAGTATTAGTAACAATAAAATATTTCTGGGCTCTAAGCTATCACAGAGTTTTACTGTTTGTCTTAGGGGAAAAAGTGAGGTAGGTAACCAATTTTTACAAAGTAGGATTTATGTATAAAAGATGGCTTTTGTTCGCAAAATGCATTTTATGTAAAGTAGAATATATGTAAACTGTTAATATTTTCTTATGGGCTTGAGGTTGCAAGAAAATAATTTACAATAAATTACTGTAATATCAGTTCCTTTTCATCAAAACATGGTTTTGAAAGACAAGTGATCATGTAATCAGATCTGAAATAAAGTTACAATAACCCACATATTGGCAAAAGTTGCTGTGTTTGCAACAGACACAAAGTTAAATATTTCTGACAACGTTATCAAATATTGGTTGGTATACATCTAGTATTGATCATTTCATAGAATCATCCCCACGAGAGAGCGAGAGAGAG